ATAAATTTTAAAGAAGCATTTTCAGGTGTTGAACTTTTTATAGGCCCATTGGCTGGTGAATTTTGAGTACCTCCAGAGAAATGCTGAAACCCTTTCTGCTTGCCAGTCAGCTGCACCTCTGAATTTGATTGAGTTATCTGTTTCACACATCTGTAGAGTAAATTCAGCAATTCACGTGATACCTCACAAGGAAAATATCCTGTATAATCAACAATCCACGCATCAAATCCACCACAAATGCCCACATTCCTTGCAGAACGAACTTGTTTCACAATATGAACAGCACCAATTAGATTAAATTACTGGTGTATTGTACGCACAGCAGACCATACAAAGTGGTGCTTCACATAGCAAAAAACTTGTATAATGAATTCACTGCTGGAAAAAATTGTTGTGCAAATTACTATCATGTTGTCTTGCACAGTTGAACCTTGATAACTCAAACCTCCCTATATATACAGTACCAGCAACTAAAGATTCTTCTGGGACAACGTTTGTGTTATTGTATTGCTAGCATACAAAAGTTATATTTTTCAACTTGGTATTGGTGCTTTATTGATGCTTTAGCCTCAACACTTGATTCTTCATCGTTCTCTGCGAAGAAGCTGATTTCGTTCAACAACTTAAAAGCTCATCTGTTAGTCCATTTTTTTAACCCACCAGGGTTAAAGAGCATGCGCGATTGCAGAACAGTGACAACTGCAGAAAATTTTAAGTACAATAATAACATCGAAGTATGCAAAATATACCACCCGATTCAGTAATACAGTATTTACACATGGCCGGAACTGATCGGAAGGTTTGATCGCCTGTTTTAACTTATATATCTGCATCATGTACTGCAGCAGCTGCTGCTGTTACACATGCGGCATCAGTTCACTGCAGCAGACGGTTACCGCTTGCTTACGGTGCTATTCGAAATAATTGGTCTTTTGCGTAATATTTATGCTGGTTTGGAAGTTGCTGATTTTTGTTCCGGTGTAATAGCCGCTGTTTTCACTTGGTCCTTACAGCACTCCCCACTTTTCAGATGCTGTGTATAAGCCACAGAGGAATAACCTCGACCATCACTGCTGCTGCTGCATGATGCTGATGGTTGAACGAACGGCACCGCTGCTGCGGAACATCTCGCGCAAAATGAAGCAATTCTGAGGGGCGTGCGACATCTGTACAAACAAAGGGATCTCCTAGACAGCAATAAACGACAGAGGGCCCGACGTGCATCTGTTTCCGAAATTTATACTGCTGTATGTCCATGCATAGTTGACAACTGTAATTCTGTAATGAACGCTAATCTTGACGAAGCCCTTCAGGTGCTATACGTAAACAGCTCAGTATTTACAAAAGTAGCTATGGCCGGTAGATCGTAGATGGTTGATGGACGAAGAAATACAACGACAATGTACCATGCAACCGACCCATCATCTACAGCACATAAACAGCATCAGACAGCAATATAGACGAGAGAAGAATTAAATACATGTATACATGTACTGAAGTACCAGCGAAATGTCAAAGATTGATCAAGAGAACAGCATTGGGCTAATGCAGTGGAAAACATATCAGATGCATAAAATAAATACAATTTTAATGACTGAGTGTGTTATAAACTTTCTGCGAATTTTCGTTTTCTGCGCTGTACTTCTGCAGGATTTTGTTAGGACAAAATAGGATTCCTTTGGCACATTAAGCAAGGTCGAAAATTTACTACAATTAACTAATTTTGTCTCAATATTGCAAGCAGGGGAAATTCCAACCAAATCATATACAGTACCAGCTGAACTGCTGTATTTGATGTTCACCGACCGCCGAACATCGTCCAAAAAATTCAACTCCATTATCAACAACAAGCAATAAAAACAACTGTTGATGATCACGCTTAAAAAGAAAAGAAACGTATTTTCCTCAACCTTTCGGCAGATATTAAGAGAATTGTCGACGGCACTATCAATAAGCTTGACGATTGTTGCATGACAACAGTTTGAAATAAAAGGCTGAGCTTTTGTCGAAACACTGTACAGTATATACATATTGCAGTACAGATGTTGAAAAGACAATGTATGATTCTGCACGAGACTTAACATAGACGGGACAACATCTATAATTCTATATAGCAAGCAGTGCCAAAGCATGCTTTATATCAGTGTTCCCAACCTTTTTGAGTTTTTGTGCTGGCGGACCGGAAAATTTCCATGAAATTTGTTCCGGACCTGCGAATTCCCAAAAACTTTTCTGTGGACCAGCAAAATTTTATAAAATGTTTGCAGAATCCAAAGTGTTGCTTGAAAGACTGTATATGTCAGGCATTTAAAAATGTTCTGCTTTTTTGTTGCAAAAATTAAGAACAATTAAGCAGGTATAGGTGAAATGTCTTCAAAATTTAGAAAGGTGGGCTTGAAGAAAGTTTACTCAGACTGAAAAATGTAAATAATTCATTTCATCAGGAGAAAATTTGTCTGAACTTCAATTAAAAGAAAAGCTAACTTTTATTTCTTCCTCAGATAATTTAAACTGCAGTTGCCTTTTGGACATTTCAGATAAAAATTAACAGACTTCATCGTTACTTTTTTCAATTTTTTATGGTGCAGAAAATTTTCAGCGGACTGGCAAAAAAGTTCTTCGGACCGGTGCCGGTCCGCGGACCACGGGTTGGGGAATACTAATGCTTTATATCAAACCTTTTTTGAAAGCGTTGAAATTCATCTATTTCAACGAAAGCCAGTCGCTTTGGCACTGGTATTTTTTTTCTCGTGAGAAAATTCTTACTTGCTGTTGCTCGTAAGATACATACATTTATTCGCTCTGATGCAAAAATCTCATGGTTGGAAGCTAAAAATATGGTTGAATATTTCACGCATCATTTATAGATGAGAATTTTTTGATTCAAACTATTTACCTGCATATTTATTTTCTGAATACCAAACTTTGTAATGTGGTGATTTATTTTCCACCCGCGTGCCACATTTTTCAGCAGGTATAATCAATAAAGTGTCTGCCTACTACACAACTGCCTACTTCAAAGAAAAAAGTTTACCAGAACATGGGCATGCAGAATCTGCAGGAATGGGGAAAACGGCACACACTTGGGAGAGGCAGATATTTCCACACAGTGACCCTGCTGTGCGCCTATATAAAGTGTACCAAAGTTCTTCTTTTGCACATGCAGCAAATCCCTAATGTGCGCCAATTGTGTATTCACACCAGGATTACTCAGGGTCACATTTGTAAACAAATAAGTTACACCAAGGTTACAGTTGGTACATTTGTGTGATACTCCTGTTAAGTCACATTTGTGCATAAAATGTAGCCCTGGAATGGTAGCAAAATTTCATCTACAGAGGTGCATGCTTGTAACCCCAGAATAGCCCTTGTGCACCGCAGTTGTGACCCCAGTGTGCACCAGTTGTGGGGTCACACAAAGAATAGCTCCCCACTGGTGTGATTTAATTTATTTGTATTTATTCTATAACAACTGTTGTCTATGGGCATAAATACATCTCTCTACCTAAATGGTTCTGAGGTTATAATTGGGTATAACAGTTTTTCATCTATAATACCTATGTAATAAAATGAATCTTATATACAAATAACATTAATTGTAATGCAATGATGCATCCTCGCGAGTTAATGTGACATAGTATGTACATACTGGATATGGTACTGTACATTATATAGTGTTGAGGTGAATATCAACGACACCTACATTATGCGTCATGAAATGCTTGTCGGGATGTCTTGGAACCGCCGTATTCCGTAAAGCACTGTGAACTGGCTATTCGGAAATTACGAAGACGCTCATCTATGATTCGAGTCGGACCGAACTATTACGGATGTTACTGCTTGTGTCGGAAGTTTTCCTAGCGAGTAAAGAAGGAAAACCAGTAGATAAAAATTTTGTGTGCATTCCTCGCTTCCCATCCCGAAATGCCCGAACCCGTCCGTGCGTCATGATTTTCGCTTCTGCGAGGGAGCTTATCATGTGTTTTCGTGAATCGAAATTTGAATTTGATGAGAAGCTCTACTTTCGCTTCCAATCACCGCGGGAAGCCTGTGGTGTTTCTTTGCATGCACCGCGACAATATCGAGTTTCAAGACCTTTGCTTTTTTCTAGGATTTATTTCCTCTGAAAAACGCATTGACAATGGAATGTGAGCTAAATAATCGGGAAGCGTTAAAGCAGCTGCTGGATGCGATTCGTCGAGAATCCAAGGATATTCCCGCTCCTGTCGAAGTTCCCAAGGTCACCGTCAATGAATCCTTTTGTCATCGAATGGAGTTAGAAGAAGGGATTCCTGAAGAATCCATGGATGTTCAGGCCCCGGTTGAACCTCAGAAGCTTTCAGTCATTGAATCCTCATGTCTCCGAATGGAAATGGAAGAAGTGATTTGTCGGGAATCCAAGAATGTCCCCGCACCCGTCGAAGTTCCCGAAGTCGAAGAATCCTCGTGTCACGGAGGGGAGGTACAAGGCACAGTTTCTCAGGAATCCATGGATGTTCAGGCTCCGGTTGAAGTTCCGAAGGTTCCAGTCGTTGAATCCTCATGTCCGCGAAGCGAGCTATCAAATCTCTTGACGAAAATATCGTCTGTGGCGTCCAAGCAAACGAAGGTATCAAATCTCCTTACAAAAACATCTTCGGTGACGTCCGAACAAACCAAGTCAGTCCGTGCGGAGAACAAACGACTTCCAGAAGGTCATGGGTTTTGGGACTGCTACAGGTCCTCTCTAGTCTTGAACAGAGCTTTAACCCACGACGTACCCGGGGTACATTCTGTCGCTCCATTCCGTGCTTGTCCTATGAGAAAACATGACAGTTTTGCTCCTAATGATTGTTCCGGAAGGTTAGATGCCTCCGACCTGCGGAAGAACGCAATTAAATGGATTTTGATGAACAATATGTTACCTGGGAAGGCATTATCAATGAATGGACCGTTTGAGAATCAAGAGGAATTGGAGGATGTTGAAAAATGTCATTCCCGCGTAGAGTTAGATGCTTCGATGCCAGAGGATTGTACTTTGGAAGTGGATTCATTGGTCGCTGAGAGGTCGGACCACCGGGCTTCAGTGAGTTTTATCAGCTTGTCTTTTCCTGCATGGTTTTATTTGCTATTACGTGATATTATGCGCTTTTGTTCGGGAATCCATGGAATAAACATACCGTATATCGAAGGAATGAGATGAACGGTTCACATACCGTTATAGGAGGACGAGGATCGCGAGAGTTGTCGAACAGAAATCGTGGAATTTTCTGCAATCCCGCACAATTTTTGTAGCCGTATCTCATAAATTAAGACTGGTGCTTCTTGTGCACCTACAGACGTCCATTCGGCTTCCACGAGTTTACGTGCATGATTCACTACAGTCGAATTTCAAGGGACCAGCAGAAAAAATTGGAGTTTGGGAGGTTTAAAGTTAAGGAAACAAGCATTTTTTATGTGGGAAAGATAGAAAATTGCAGGAAATTGTAAATTGTGTTTTTCAGGGCCTTGTGTTTTTTCAGTTGCTTCTTGAATGAGTTGACAGGATGGTGAACTTGGAGGAAAATGTTTATTTGCCCAACTAGGCTTTCACTTCCTTTCCAAACCCATCAAGTTACTTTTAAATTTAATTTCTCTTTGCTGTGTCAATTAAGTCCTGACATGCCGTCCGTTGGTCCAGATTGAATTTTCTCCTCTTTTGTTGAATTCCTGAACCAATTGAAGGAAGCCCGGACCATCGTAAGAAGTGTATGTACCATACCGCGTGTGACCTACTGGTGCACTGGTTGGGATCTACGGTATATTTTTCTCCGCACGAAAATGATGTGCCGAGTATCAGTCGAGAATTATAAAATGCAGAAAAAATTGAAATATGGTGTACAGTGCACCAGTGTTCCCCAACCCGCTTTTCCGCGGACTGGCGCCGTGCAGACGTTTTTGTCGGTCCGTGGAAATTTTCTGCACCGCAATAAATTGAAAAAGTAACAGTGAAGTCTGTTATTTTTATCTGAAATGTTGGAAAAAAGTAGGCTTTTCTTTTTATTGAACATCAGACAGAATTTCACCTGCTGAAATAAATTATTTAAATATTCCAGTATGAGAAACTTTTCTTCAAGCCCACTTTTCTAATTTTTTGAATACATTCCACTACATAGCTGCTTTATTGTTCTTAATTTTTGAAGAAAAAAAACAGAATACCTGCCATAAAGTCTTTCAAGCAACACTTCTGAGTCTTCAAAAATTTTATAAAACTTTGCCAGTCTGCATATAATATTTTTTGAATTAGTCAGTCTGCAAAAATTTGTATGGAAATTTGCTGGTCTGTGGGCCCAAGAAGGTTGGGACCACTGGTGTACACTATGCAGCATGAACTACATAAAAGGCCTTTTTTAGCAAACACCCTTGGTATCAAGTATTCCAGCTTATAAAGATTATGTTTGCAACATGATTTTAGTGGCCAACAAAGACTAATCCCGCTTTCAAACGATGGTCAGCAGATTTCCCCTGATAGAGAATACTAAAATTGTTCCTGGAAAACCAAAATCCAGCAGAGAAATGTTTCAGCCAGCCAATGTAGTATTTCTCAGGTACAATTTTTAATTGTTGACCCCACTGTTATTTCAATGAAGCTGAAGTAGACATTACATGTGCAGTATTTTATTATTTTCAAATGGAAGCACGAACTAAGAAGCTAATGAAAAAATATAGTGTCTATGAAGGCATCAGAATTTTGACTATACCAACCTCTGATCAGGAGAAACAGTGTTTTCAAGGTCCGTGTTTTCAATTTTTAAAGTTAAATCTAAACTATAAAACACCTTTAGCATCGCAAATTTGATCCCAAGCTGCCATAACTTCATCATAGCTGAATTCTACCTGTATCGAAACATCGGATGTGGAGGCAAGGGGGTTGAATGTACAGTATTTTGTAGCTGTACTGCCAACAACATGTTTATTGCAGCCCACATGTTCAGTGAGGAATTGTTTTGAAAATCCCCGCGAGTTTATTATTGAAGGATTCTACCTGTCCCTGATAGAAAAGTACTGTAGTTGCATCCCGTCCCTGTGCTATTCAGCAATTTGTCTTAAATTTTGATAATGTTCTTTTGATGTAACATTTTGGAGCTTGCAGCCTGAAATAAGTTTGATTTTTTACTCTTGTAAAGCCCAGGAAATGGTTCGGCCCATTTGAAAAATAAAGTTACGCAATTGTGAAAGATACATTCTAGGCGAAGTGAGTCCATCAGAGAGAAAAGGAAGAATCGGATTCTGATGAAGCGGAACAAAAATAAAACGAGGAGCGCGTCATAGGGTGTAAATTTTGTCGTATTTTAATTTTTATGATGTACGTTATATGCAACAAAAGCAGCACAGTAGAATTCTAATTCCGAGCGGGCTTGAATTTAGATTTTTATCCAACGTGGTTTATTGAGGTGAGAATGAAAACTAAGTTGTTTGAGTTATGTTGAAATGGGTTTCTTTCCTCAATTTCACGTGACAAACTAAGCTGCCCATGGTACTTGAGTGCCGTATTTACTCAAGTACCATGCGCACATTTTTTTCTAAAAAAAAAAAAAATTGGGGAAAAAAGAAGTTTGCGCGGGATAGAATTTTCAAGAAATGTTTGAAGTCCAGGTGTGCGTCACACTTGAATATTATGGGAACTTTTTAAAATCAGGGCAATATAGGATTTGTTGAATTCATGTTCAAATTTGATAGTGGTTTCTCATATTTATGAAATATTGCAGTTTTTCAGTCACTAACAATGGGGTGCATGCCTTACTTGAGGATAGGGTTTCATCAAAATCTCAGGAGGAAAATGAGGGTGACTGGGAAATTTTCATCATAAATGCATCAAATGCAGCAACAAAGTCAGTAATCCTTATCTGCAATTTTGGAAAGACAATGTCACTTGAAATTATTTGATGAAAAATATAAGTTGGCTTTCCTACTAATAACACTTAAGAACATTTTCACCTGCCAAAATAAATTACTTCATTTTTTAAATCCAAGAATCAGTTCTTCAAGCCCACATTTATGATCGCTTGACCATTCCACAATAGCTGCTTCATTGGTTCTTAATTTTTGCAAAAAACTTATTAAATGCCTGCTGTTGAGTCATTCAAGCAAAACCCTTCTGAGTCTGCAAAAATTGTATGAAACTTCGCTGTTCTGCCGAAATTTTCGGGGAAATTTGCCCGAAAATGTTGGGGAACACTGGCGTATAATGTACCTTATCTGTCTTTGCAGAGGGACAAAGAACCACTTCACAATCATCCTCAGAAAAAAGTCAGCGTTGAACTGCTGCGTGCATCCGACCTCGTTTCCCTAGCCTTGGACGTTCTACTGGAAGGTTTGGAGGGTCTCTGCGTCAACTCGGAGACCTTGGGTACAGAATTGGCTCAACTCGCGCCACAGGTGGCAGACCTGCTGGACCTCAGCGCCCTCTTGGCGAACCGGGCTGTTGTAAATGCGGACATCGCTTCTGGGAAGATCCGTGTTAAGGACTTCTGACGTCAGCCACCCGAGTGATTCCTTTTGCGGAAATATTTTTGTTATTGTGGAAATGAGATCGAAAAAAGTGAGTGATGAATGTACAGCTGTTCTGCGAGTCTCGTGTTGTTCTCGCTTTCTGAATCGAGTATCCGCGCCACCGTAAATGAGTCTGTCTAGTACTTATTGGAATGTTGGTTCATCTATACCCCTTCGATGGTTATTGTTTTTCGTGTTCTCGAAAAATCGAGTACTTATGGTACTGTAGATAGAAATCGTCAGGAAAACCTTGCTCTTATATTTACACATTTATTATTTCTGTAATTTTTCTGGGGATATGAACAGCAATACCGTACACTTGTACAGTACTATATGGTATGTTCTTTCAGGCATAGTTTGACCTTATCTCCTCCCAACATCCCGAGGACAAAAAACCTTCAGTATTTTGAATTACTGTATGTTGATTCTTTCAATGGAAATGTTGTGAAGGAAATATGATTTCCTGCAGAAGAAAACCGTATGTAATTCTGTATTTTCTCTGGATCCTACCAACGTCAAATTTTAGTCATACAGTAGGAAATTGACGCGCATAAGTTGACTTTTAAGGCGTAGAAATTGTTTATTGTCCGGAGCTGAATTTCTGAAGGCAGAGACCATACAAGTAAAATTGTGTTCCAATGCAGTAAAATCGTTTTGTAAACCATGAAACCTTTGGGGACTTCAGAAAAATTTTGTTGTACTGAGTACTGTAATTTTTTATAACAAGATTTTCATAATTAATGTCTGGAAAAATTTTCACGTTCAACCTGCCCATAATCTTCTATAGATCTTCTGCTTTTCTGACATTTGCAGATTTTTTTACATGAATAAAAATCGTGATCTTCTGAAAAAAATGATCTTCGTTTGAAAAATTTGTTGGAATCAGATTTTACTGTGTAAAGCATCTTTTGGTTGAGCAATTTTTGCTAAAATTTGTTCAGGCTTGGTCCAAAGAGTTCAATGTAGGTTGCTTCTAAAAATTCACTGGAACATGCTTCAAGGAAGCATTTTGTGGAGATATTGACGAGAAAAAAATAAAATTCCTTCTTCCATTGCCCTAAAAAAATAATTTTCTTTCGGCGGCATGTCAGAATCCATCCGTGTGACAGTTTTTTCTCCACTTTTACGGCAGTTCGAGGAATTCTTGTGCATGCCAGTGAGGTGATGCACGTGACTGATGTGAAATATGGGGCGAAATAATTTCTGCATGGATGAGATTGACGGATGAGCGATTGTACTCCGCACTTCGTCCTCAGTGCTACGACTGTATATATCAGCATACATGCAACTAATGTTCCTTAAACTTCCTCTCTTGTTTTCAATGGGTTTTGTTTGTGGGAGTAAGCACTTAGCTCCGACATCTGGACTGTACTACATTTCCTGCTGGACCTCATCAGAATGCATTCGCGCAAGGACTACCCTGCAACCTGACTTAAGAAACGTTATGTGGGGAAATTATTTATAACTACCCGCATAAATAAGGAGTACAGCACTGTAGATGAAATTTTGAAACCTCTTTTCAACATGCTCACTTACTGCTTCGTGAATGTCCTAGGTACACACGTTTGTTTCACAGCCTGTTCCGCAGAAGTACCCACGACATATTTTCTGATCAATACACAGGGTATTCGCACATAAACTTCCAGCCGCCTCGAGCGAAGTTACCCCGATTTTAAGGGAAAATTCTTACCTCTCACGTCATATAAATATGCAGAACGGATCCTTCGAAAGTCAACTGTGCAAAATTTGTCGTCACGAATGACAGAATGTTCTCACAGCTTCCGGGAGAATCCTCAAAAGCCTCCCAATGTCGCGTTTCTTTCACGCAAAAATGAAACCTCGAACTCGACATTTTCCCTTCAATTCAGCTTCTTTAATTCAAATCCCCAGTCAAGAAGCAAGAAGCACGTAGAAAACAATCTTGAAGTGAATCACTCGACTTCCTCCTTAACAACGGACTTCTTTTTCTTCTTCTTCACTGGTTGTTCTGGTTCTTGTTCTTCCACCTCCATAGCTTGAGACTTCTTCTTTTTCTTCTTCGGGGAAGATTCTTGAACCTCTTCATCGTCTTCGGGCGCCTTGGATTTCTTCTTCTTCTTCCCGTTCTGTTCCACAGCCTGATCCTGATCTTCTTCCATCGCTTCTGGAACACCAAAAGGTCGAGTCAAGTCTAAGCGCATCGAATGAATTTCAGAACATTCGGATATTTACCTTCCTCTTCCTTGATATTTTCCTCTTTCTTGATCTTTTTCTTTTTCCGGGACTCAGTGGGCAGTGTGGAATCAGCAGCAGCTGGGAACACCTTGGCTTCGCTGAAAAGACACAGACAGTAAATGTATTTCAGGGCAAATTCGTTCGAAGTCCATGGAATTAAAACAAGATTTTAAGAAAAATCACGACATGATAAAGTTTCCCGGTATCTGTAAATTTTCGCCTACTGCCAGCTACGCAAAACAGGACCTTGCTCGAGAGATTCAAAGAAATGAAAACTACTGAGTAACGTAATTTGCCAGGAAAATTCTTAGTAGCATGCGCGAATGCACACAAGTAATTCCGAATACTTCAACAGGAAAGTTCATCATGGAATCAATTTTCAAAACTCACGTATAATTATCATTCAAGGATAAGGTAGCATTGATAATCAACACAACGACATCTACCAGAAAATTCAGCAAATTCAAGGCACTTCATGATGACGGCAGTATACTGTACAGTATCTAAAAAAAAATTGAAAAATAACGGCTCGTGTTATCGAACAATTTACAATTGAATTCGGTGATAAATACACCAACAAATTGTTATTCCTGTCTTGTGATTCCATTTGGAAAGCGGTGGTATCCGCAGACAGATCATGACATTTTACATTGTTTCCATACTTTCCAAATGCCTACAGCATTTCTACCTCCTACACTCGATTCCCAGATAAGTTGCTCTGAAGAAAAAAAAATGTTTTTCTTCCAACGCAGACATTACAGGACTTCGCCAGATTTGCTACGATGCGATGCTCTGATTGTGCATGTTCGCCGAAACCAATCACAGTAAGGTACCCTCATAACCAAGGCTGACCAACACACGGCCCGAGGGCTGCATCAGGTCCACGGAGACTCATCATACACTCCGCTGTCCTTTCCCAAAAATTTTGAAGATGGCAGCCTCACTATTCAAAATACATACAGTACAGTATTCAAAAATGAATTGAAAAAATTAAAATGTTGCTCCACCCTTCAACAAGTATCTACGGCTCCGCTTGTGCATGGCACTGAATTAAATTTGAAACTTTTTCCAAAATGGGAAATTTTCGAACCGCATGAATTGCCAATGGTGGCCCGCACGGACTCAGCAATGTGGCCCTAGGCCATATCTGAGTTGGGCAGCATTGCTCAAAACCCTCATCAGAGAGGTTCTAAATCCAATTTGAACATGACCACGGAAGCAGAAGAGCTTAAATTTTTAAAAAAGAAATAAATAAACTCACGACTTGGGAACGTGCTTGGCAAACTTCCTTCCACTCGCAATGAACCTTCCAGACTTTCCCTGCTCCAACGACGCGATGCGGAGTTCCAAGGTGGCACGATGCGTGATGCCGACATCGGCCGACGGCGTCGGGTCCTCGCCCAGGGCGTCCACTCGAATCGCGAGCGCCGCTTTAGCCGCCAACATCCTACTGATCTTGCCACGGAGCTTCGCCGACGAGGAAGACACGAGTTGCGCGTGGTAAATCAACCCGTACTTGGGGGTGTCGTGTCGGGTTTTCAAAGCCCTGAACAACGCCTTTTCCGCTCCCAGGATCTGCACCGTCGACGCTGGATGCTTCGCCAAGTTCAGCAGAGATCCTGCGGCGATCATTTTGTCAAATTTTAGGTCGCAAAATGCCCTCACGGTCAGATAATTCGGGATTCGACATCCTCATACATCACACAAATTGATCACATTTTAGATTTCAGCACCTGATGCTGAGAAGCGGGTTTATTTCTAAAACTGTATTCGTCATTCAATCGCCATCGTAAACTACGCCAATATGTGACAAGGTTTTCCGGCGAAGATTTTGAAAACATTTTAAAACCCATACAGTACTCTTAAATTGAACATCTTCGTCAATTATTTTCATCGAGATAACCTGGAAAGTCATAAAACACAGAAGTGCGGCAGATAAATCTTTTTTTTTTTTTTCAAAGTAATCAGGCGCACTTTCAAGTCCCTTTCTTCTCTAAATTTCAATCCGCGAAAGCAAAAATTGCAACAGTGGTCAGGGAATGATTACAATTTTATCTGTGAAAATTCCGCCCTTCTACATTCCTCCAACTGGACTACAAAAGTTCAGTAGAAGACTTACGTAACATAAACCAAACCGTTGTACAATACAGTCGAACCTCTTCTTCAAATTCAAAATGACCAGCGAACGAATTCGGATTTTCAAGTTGGGGAAACCCGAATTTTTGGCTAAAAAGGAATTATGGGAAGTTAGCATCAAGCTACATTTGTACTGTACTGCATTACTCTTCTCCTTCCTTGGTTCCCAGAATAATAGCTCAAAGAACTCTTGAATTGTTAGACATACAGTGGACCCATGGTTAACACACTTCTGTCCTCCAAAAAACCCTTCGTTAAAAAAGCAAAATTCAATTACCAACCTTTCGTCGTCATTCAAAAATTCCAAATTTGGTTATGACACTGAACTACAGGGTGTTATCTAATGCAGTTCCAATGGAAAAATTATTAGGTAGACCAACGGCTTACATAAAAGTTTTAAATTTTTTTCATTAAATGAGTGAATGCCCGTTTGCCATAAATTTTCCATAATTTGAGGAGAACCAATTGATCAAATGATATCCAGCTGTGAGAAGCTGTGGACAAAGGCATTTAAAAAATATTTTTCTGGCTGTTTCCATTTTTAAAGAGATTTTTCTAGTTGTTTCCACTGTTCAACTACTAAGTTTGTTTATTGGTAACAGCATTTAAAAAAAAATTTTGGTTTCTGGTGAGTTATCCTATTCATATCAGTCATATGTGAATGTTCATCTGGATGTGAAGCTTTTTGACTGTCGTTTTCATTTGACATACATTACTTCCATTCAACCATAAGAAACATAGTGAAAAACCTGAAAACAAAGTGGATGTTACAGTAACTCATTCTGAATAGATTTTTGTCCAGAAATATTTTTTATTAATTTTTTAATGGTATTTTGGGTACCAGGAACGGATTAATTGATTCTCCACCTAAGTCCATGAGGAAATCAAATTCAGTTGAAAATTTTTTTTTCAGTAACCGATCAAGTCCGATAACTGAAGGTCCACTGTCCAGGTTTTGGTCCGACATTCTCGAGTTAGGGAGGTCTTACTATGTTGATCTCACGGAAATTCAGTCGGGGACTAGACAAAAAATGTGCCATGGGGAGGTTTGAGGTCCAACTTTAGGACAGAACATCGTCTGACTTTTTTTCCGTCACTAAGATGGGCCATTATTGATCACAGCTGTCACTCACCAGCCTTCGAAATCAACCTAGCCCCAACCAGCTCTCCCAGCAAGGCGGTGAGGTTCGGAGCAATTGCAAGCATTCTGTTTTTTAGGTAGTCGTACAACTCCGCCCGGTATTCGGTCACCTCCAACACAGTATCGCAAAGCTTGCCAATATTCAATTGGTCTTCTTCGGACAACTCCGTGCCCATAGAGATCTCAGCAGTGGCTTTCACCTGTTGCTCCACATCTTCCGGGATGATGTCCGAAAAGTCCATATCCGCGGCATTCGACCTTTCACCTGAAAAGTTTCGCATTATTCTCAAACGTGATCCAGCATTCAATTGACGTTACTCGTCAGAAAATTGCAAGGCTGTAAAATCTGATACTCTACTGAAGTACCAGTGCTTGCTCAACTCAAACGTGGCCAAGGGCCGCATTGCAGAGGTTTAAAGTCCTTGCAGGCCAAAATAGAGAATCACTTCTGACGTTTCAAATGTTCCCCTTTTCAATTAAAAGTTTCAAATTTAATTCAGAGGCATGTCTTATATAATTTGTGATGGTGGAGCATCATTTTGAATTCATTTCTCAATATATATTTTGAATAGTGACCACTGACACCTTGGAAATCACAGGGATGAAAACGTGGGACAGATGAAGCATCTCTGCGGGCCAGATCCAGCATATATTGGGCAGCACAGAATCTACTTGATACGATATCCAATGATACTGTGCAGTGAAACTCAAGGAAAAAAGCCTTCTTCGCTTCTCGTAATTAAACATTCATACGGTATTCAAAAAGATACAGCGCAGTGAGATTCAAGCAAAAAATTACATTCCCGCTCGTCACAATGAAATATTTTTGTTCATGAGCTGATGCCACTCGAGACACAAGAACCTTTCCATTTCATAAGAGGCTTCCTCCGAATTTAATTTATTTGTACGTTCCAAACATCGCAGACAACACTTTACTGGATAATTCGGATTTCCCCCTATTCTCAATAACAGTTTCTCGCTTTTTTTCGAGCTTCAAAAAAATGTTCCCACACTTCTCGACATAATTACCACCATTCTCGATGAATTTATGCGTAAGCTTCATCCAAGATTCGAAAAACTCACTTCATATGCTCAAATTTTAACTGGAAAACTGCTAAGCATTTGGAAACCCCGCATTTTTCCCTTAAATACGATGACCTGGCGAGTAAGAACACATCTTCGACCTACTGTTCATAGGAGACACTAACTTTTCGCTGAATTTCTCATCGGAAGTTCTCGGAAAGTAGTAATTGTTCACAACGACCATAGGATTCAGAAACGTACCCATTTTCTTGATGAGTCGAACATAGGCAATGTTGTCAGTAACAATCTTCGTGAGCTCAGGGAAATGCCAACCATACCATTCCTTACACCTCATGACATAATTGTTCAACTCCTTGTCAAGATCTTCTAGGACGGAGATTGCTTGAACGATCATCACGTCCACTTTGTCGGGGCTGAATTTCAGCTTGTACCGAGATAAACTACAATAAAACACAAGTTAATCCTTATCTTAATTGCGTCGGGAACACCGTAACACAAACCTATGCGCAAGTCCAAGCGCCATAGCAGCATATTCTTTTCTTGGAATTCCAGTCAGACTTTCTGCTTGGCTCCTGATGCACCTCATCAGCTCTTGGATAGCGGAGTTTGAAACGCACGATAGCTGGAGGCTTTCTTTGATGGCATTACCCAATTTCGCATCCGCAACAGCGAGTTCTTCATGAAGCTCTGGCAGCACCGTCTTTTTCAGAGCTTTCTTCAGCTTGGGGTTCAGCTTTCCGTCAACCAAAGCTGTGGCTCCCGCCAAACCTTCAGTCAAATCCTCAAATCTGAAGAAAGACTTCAGCTTCACCCTGTAAAAATGATACTAAAATTAAAAGCGGGATCTGCGAATAAAGTCAATGAATACTCATATCAAGTGAGATAAAAGCGAGTCATTCGAAGCAGTATAAACTCATCAACATCCGAAACCTTACAGAATACGGAACAAATCTTTCGAACATCTTGGATGAATAGGAACAACTTAGCATAGGACAAAGACACCGATGAAACGCATTCTCCACGCGAAGAACACGTGTTTCCCGACAAAGGGACTGAAGTGAACACTCACACTGAGCTGGCGCCTTCAGGCGTCTGGAAAGCTTCATGTAACTCTGACCACACATTATCCGCTTGCTTCAACTTTTTCTCATCAAGAATCTGAAAATAAACCAGTATTTAGATTGTTCGGTCCAACATTGGGATACGAGAACATACCTTGAAAAACGCGTACCCCACTGGGGTCTCAAACAACAGCAACATTTTACCACAACTTTCCCTGCGCAAATAAATAGAGAAAACTTCGAATGCGTTCGGAAATCGGACAGATCGGTTGAATAAAGTTAGCAAATTAAACTTCATTTCGTGTGCTTAAAACAACAAGCGGAAAAAGGGATTCCGACGAAGCATTCGACGAAAATTCGTAAAAAATGGGAAAATGTCAACGGGGTCTTCCACGTGCTGGACAACAATGGCATTGACGAGGTGGTCATACGCAGTTCTGTTGTATTGCATATAGAACAGCGAAAAGGTGATCGGGAGAAAAAATGCCAACGCAACGTTCTTTACGGCTCCACGACTGAGGGACCGCAACAAGCTCAAGCCTTTCGCGGGGAACACAACGGCTGCATCCTCACCTGGAACGATGACACATGATTGTACTGCAGTGAAATCTCACCACAAAAATGTTTTCGTGCAACAATCTTTTTCTCAAGTCCGGACAGAAAGCCCATAGACATTTGTTGAAACAATCTCATGAAAAAAAAAAGACTTCCCAATTCCAGTACAGGCAGTACAGCATAACAATTTATTTTGAAGAATGCTTGATGGATTCTCCAGGGATCACCGTATTTACTCAATTAATGTACCACGCGCCCTCGAGTAAGGAGCACACCCGGGATTTTTGAGTCAATTAAAAAAAAAAATTCTATTCCCAAGCAAGATGTGCACTCCATTTTTAGTGACTCTAAAAATACAAGTTTTCGAAAGTCATTGCACCAAAATTTGAATTTAGACATGATTGTAACCGGAATTCAACTAATTTTCAATTATTTCCTACAGAGGAAGTTCTCCTATTGAAATTGGTCCAAACTTTCTGAAACTTTTAAAAATGTATACCCATCCATGACGCGCACCCCTGAGTAAATACGTTAGACTTCCTGATTAAGGCAGGCACAGTCAGGAATTTCCGATCCCAAATGTGACTGACTGGCTCTTATAACATGGATGAAAGTTGTAATCAATGACAAAAGTGCTTCCAAGTGGTTCCATACAATACATCATCAACCCAGAATGAAGATTCGTGCAACTGCGGGAATGCAGGATTGAAGCTAATTTTGTTTTCCGAAGGTCACTCAGTTTTTTCAAGAACAAAATATCAGAATGCCAAAAAAGCAAAATTTAATTGATTATAGATAGGTAGGTCTCACATGAAAATTATTCTCCAATCATTAATTTTGAAAATCTCGTTATAAAAAATTATTCAGTGTAAGAACCTTTATACAAAGTACCCAAAACGAGGTTGTAATGAGATTTTACTGTAATTTCGACAACACTTGATCATTACAACACTCACCAGCGGGAACTACCCAGTCACAGGACACGACTTTGAGCCCAAACAACATCTTCCCTGGAGTTGCTTGGCAGCTCGACCAGATCCATAAGCCTTCGTAGAAGCACACCGCTAGTCTGTGGATCATTTCCAGCAACACCACTTCCGTGCTCACCTGATGAACCATTCAGGACACTTAAACATCAATGGTTTTTCCTCACGTGAACAAAATTAAAGTATTTTTCGCGGGAATTCGAAGGTTATAACAAGACCCCCAACATTTTTCCTGAAGCGTCCATGCTTCCTGGTGATAACGAACACTTCAGTGCTTTTCTGAAAGAACTGCCGTAGGCTCACCGCACTCTACTTGGCTTTAAGAAAGTTGACCGTGGCGCGGATTCGAATCCAAAGCAAACATATCGTATTCCAACAGCTTGATGAAAATGCCACAAGAGAAAAATTTCAGCCATTTCTATTTTTGAGGCAATCGGAAAACCTTAAATCTCAAATGCCTTTCAACCAAGAACTTTGAATAAAAATTTGACATACATGATATCCGATGGGAAACACGCACAATTTGATTTCTCAGGCAAATGAGAAAGTAAAAAAAAAAATTGACCCCCCGTCCCAGATCCCATTACATTGCTTTTTACATCAAGAAGCAACAGAAAGAAAGAGAGTGGCTTCTGCAAACCAAAACAACGATGGCCAAACTCGTCTTTCCTTCTACATATTAAAACTCACTTCAATCATAGTTCTCAAACCGGCACCCATCACCCCAGGCTCATTCCCAGCCAACTCCAGAAGATCCACATAAGCACTCAGATCGGAAAAATCCAGGAGACCGTCCATAACGCTGCAATCATGAACGCACGCATTTCACACATAGGAAACGCTAATGGAAGCAGAACACTCACATCATGTCATAGTGGTCAATTGCAATGTAGGTGATGAAAAATTTGATGACCAGTAAGATGATGAAATCAACAAACTCAGCGCAAATTCGTTTCCAGAATGGTGCAATGCCGAAGAGTACTCCTTGGTCTGAAAATTTCGAACAACGGCATAGAATTTAGCAACCTTCCCTTCTCCATAGAACAAATATGTCTCAACCCGTTACCACCTGTCTGAATAGATGGCATCGCCTTTTTAAAGGGTGCTGGTCCAGTGTTGCATCTAAATTGAACCACACTCGCTTATATTCCAGCATGTCATCTACCGTATTTACTCAAGTACCATGCGCTCTCGAGGAAAACGTGCAAGACAAGCATCCAATGCCTCTCAAACTGCAATACAATACTAAGAAAAGATGAGCACTCAAATTTGAATTTAGACTTGGATTGAACCTGAATGTTCAATTGCTTCCTTAAAATAAGGTTTTTTTGGATTAAATTCGTCCACAATTTCCCATTACAATCGATTATAATGCACACGTAAACTCCTAAAACTTTTTAAAAATTACCCGTCCACGATGCGCACCCACCTTTCTCCTCTTGACTTCGAGTAAAAAGACGCGCTTGGTACTTGAGTAAATATGGTACCTCAAAACATTTTTTCCCCCTCTTCCTCTGCAACTTCAACCGGTCAGAAATTCATGTTCACGAGAACCCTGACTTTTTTTAGGTCGCGTAGAGAAGTAGATAACCAAGACGTCCGAGCGTTTCTTCCGTTCCACATTTATAATTAACTGAGGGATGTAAATGGGAACACGGTATTTCAATCAGATGTCATGCGAGCAATGTCAATAAAAGACATTTCTCTGACCACGAGAATGACAGCGGAAGAAGCCCTTTTCGCTGAAAGCCAGATTTTCAAATTCAAAATTTGTTTTACACTTGAAGCAAATGAGAGAATACGCACGATGCATCTGTAAGCGGTTCGGGCACTTTTCAAGATAATAACAGACTAGCCTAGCACCCACAGAAGCTAACCCCACACATAACCAGACGATGAAACGGTTTTGAAATCACCAGGTCTCGCGGGCTGTTCATCGGTAGTTACATTGGGTGTACTCGGTCGCTCAGCCTCAGTAGTCCTCTGAATGGCAAAATAACAGACATCAACGTAGGAAAACAACGATATTACATGCAGTACAACTCACGGAAGGTTCCTCAGGGTACGTAGAAGTCCTCGTAACCTGTGCCCGCAATTGATGATTGACAACATAGTAAAACGACATCCATTCCCGAACCTGCTCGGCATACTCCGCAGCCGAGAGAACTTTCTCACTCTTTGGCTCCATGGCCAAAACAAAGAAAAACCACAGATTTTATGCTAGGAAGACAAAAATATGTTCGTTTTGATTTCACACCGAACGTTATTGCAGTGGAGAGAGAAAACAGATCATGACACACACAATCGTCAACATGTATTAAGTCATAATGATCCTCGGGGAGAACTTTCCTGCTGCTCCGTGCCACATCACAGAGCTCCATTCATTCACAAAGAAAGGGGATTAAGCTGAGAGGTTTACACCGAGCATAGTGCATAAATGCCCACACGCACAAGTGGAGGAATGTATAACCCAAACACCGTTGCGGGACCGAGAGAAGTTAAGCTCCATTCACACTCAAATACGCTGTTCAGCAACACCCTCCGCTCTGCGACATGGACGCGTTCCCGGAGCCGGGGTGCACGTTGGCGGGCCCGTGTTGTGGCCCGAGCTTGATTCCGTTTGCTTCGTTGTTCACGTCGAACACCCCTTCCTGCAATTTAGCACGGTTATTTTCGAACATCGCCAAAACGAACAAGAATCACTCTTCAAATTTAAAGCATACGACGGATGGTCACCAACTTCGACAACTAAAAAAAAAACAATGTACGCCACAGAATCTCCTCACTCAAAACATAAATTCGAAGCACAACTTTCCCCATTCTCAAATGAAGTTTTTCGTTAAAAAATCCCATGTATGCGAACACCTGCGGTAAAACTTTTTTCTTTAGAAAGATTCGGGAAATTGGACGGATCGATGCATGGTGAAAATTATAAATTGTGACGTATCTTCTGCGACCGAAACTGCCAGATTCTCAGAACTCATCATTATCCCTTATACAAATGCAACAATTTACGCGATGAATATCGGTTGCGAACACAGGTGCCGCTTTCGAACAACATCCAACAGCTTCCAGAATAGACCATGACAAAGTTGCCACTCACTAAATATCGCTTTAAAAAACGTAGGATTTTTCTACTCTTTAAACCACAAGGCCCAGAAGCTTGAAGTGACGCTACTTTTCCGCGGCCCAACTTCGCGTACGATTTATACCAGACATTTACCTACCGGGAAAATTGGAATGAATGCCTGACGGGTGTGTTCAGGCAGAAGATTACGAAGAGTTTTGCTTTCTTCTATTTAATCATAAGAAAGCCCCCACAGCAGAACAATGATAAAAGAATCAAATTTCCTGGTCTCGAAAATTTACCGGGAGTACATTCACAAGAGCATAATTGTTTCTTGATTTAAAACCCTCGACATTGTAAATATAGAGAAAACTTGACAACGACCGATTTTCTCCATAATTTCCAAGGTGAAAGGGAAACCTCCGATTCGCATGAATACTGAGTGAACCGTGGCTGCTTTGCTCAAAATGCAACAGCATAATCTGAATTACCACAAATAACCTAACCAAAAATACCCTGTCTCATTGAGGGGTGTTTTGACTAGCTCGATCAGACCCATAAGAGAATTTTCGACGCCCGTCATTCATGTGAGGATGCTTCATGACTCAATGTTTCGCTGTTTCCTATAACTGAAATGTACAACGAAGACACGATTCGTCGGTCTACAAGATCACGATTTCAGATTTAAAAAATAAATTACGGAGAAAAACCCTCAATAACACCACGATGCTGATGCAATCCAAGCACTATTCAAAGAAGCGAAAATCAAAGATATCCGTGAGCTGATATCACTGATGTTCGCTTCAGCAGCATCAGTTCAGGTTTCATACCTGGATCTTTTCATAGATCTCTTTGGCCGTGTTGATGAAGGCTTCTTCCACATTCGCGGCGGTTTTGGCGGAGGTTTCCATGAAGACGAGCCCATGTTCGCGAGCGAAAGCCTCGCCTTCTTCCTTCTTCACCTCACGACGCGACTCCAGATCGCTCTTGTTACCAATCAGCATAATCACCATGTTCGAATTCGAGTGCTGTCTGGCGTCTTCCAGCCACGACGTGAGATGATCGAACGTGTCCCGGCGAGTGATATCGTAGACTAGAAGTGCACCCGCGGCACCGCGGTAATACGAGCGGGTAATAGACCTGATAACACCTTCAATTATAAACTGCAACGAGAATACGTGACAGAGAATGGTCATACCTGAAAGCTTCTTGGCCGGCTGTATCCCAGATCTGTAGTTTGATCTGTTTGCCGTCAATGGTGATCATGCGAGCGCCAAATTCAACTCCGATCGTCAAGTCATGAACTGGCTGGAAACGTTTGTCCGTGAACTGGAGCAAAAGGCACGATTTACCAACGCCTGTGTCGCCAATGATGATGTATTTGAAGAGATACGCGTAAGACATATTTTCGATCTTTACCCGCGCGGAAGGATTCCAGAGGAATTTCACTGGAGAATTTCCTGAACAGATCGCGACAGAGAAGAATAAAGCAGTAGCATGTGACTGTTGCACACAGAAACACGAGAAATCCTCGGACACCCCAACAGATGTTGCTACGAAGCTCAAACGAATGACCTTCATGGTGCCCCAAAACTAGCGGTTCCCACACAACGTATTCACCTCGCCCAAGTCCGAACGAATCACAACGAAATTAGCACACTTCACTGAAGCATCAAGTGGGAAATCCACGTACCGAACATTAATTTCCGCGCACACGCCACACTGGGTAATACTCAAAGGGCAAGTGGCAATATCTGATACGAGGTAGGATGGTTTAGCTCAACCGGGGTAAGCCCTTCATAGGGAGACCTGCTTTCGTGTTCTGAACAACATGCAGTACTGTACACTTCTTTTGGGCATTCAACTCACGAGAAAGTTGATATCCTTCACGGCACTGAAGATTATTCAACACATTTTGTCCAACATAAATGAACTTTTAATTTTCTTCAGTTTCATGATTGTTTTTATGCAAGCTAATCAGAGAAATTTTCAGCCTCTTGGACAGTTGGAATTGTACCTGCGCAGAACGTTGCATGATTTTAGCCAGGAATCGACTTCTATTCCGAAATCAGCCACAACCAAATTTAATGATGTAGCCACTGTAAAAGTACTGTATCCAACATTTTAATTGAATAATTTACAGCGGTTTATATGCACGGACTGCAACGATTTTGGAAGACCTAATGAAGAATACCTCTGCTAGACAATTCGATTGGCTTGGAATTTCTCCTCTTAGCATGAGGAAATGGGAAAAGATTCTTGGGGGCGCGAAATGTATCTTGAGAAATAAAAACTTGTGTCGACTGTCTGCCAGAAAATATATCCATAAGACTTTGATTAGTCTTGGGATTGATATGATGGACAACACGATGCTATATATAGCCTAAACCTGAACTTTTATAAACACGCATCTTTCCTGTCCGCATGGATTTTATTACAGGACGGGAGTGTTTTACTTTTTAAGCCAAACTGAGACAATAATAAGCCTTATATATCTGATCATAAGTTTTCGAAGTGCTCCCTTCTATCCCCTTCGGTTTGGGTGGATCAAGCCACCGGTATCGCGGTCGGGTCCTCCTTTCGTTCGCTTCAGAAATGTAAGTGATCTGCTAATGATCGTCGGATTCCGCGAAGTACAGACTTATGCGGGTGTTGGTTAAAATTCCTACGATTTTGGTTGAAATCTTCACAATTGTAGCTGAATAATGAATTGCTGTATTTCTGTGCTTGATCAATTCTGTCGCGGAGAGTGAGCATCACGAGTCGCATACTTTCAATACAGTAAAGAACTCGCACGAAAGATTCGGCGTTTAGCACTGAATCTGCGTTGAAATCCCACCCGTTCTGAAGTGCGCTAGATCCTGGTTCACGAGTTTTCCCCCCGTTCATTTGAATCCCGGGTGGCGCTTGAAACGAAGTTACTGCCTGCTGCGTCATCTTCTGCTGAATGTCCTTATATGGTATTCTCGATGTCGTGAACCTTATCAGACAGCCTCATCACCAGTTGTGTGTAGTGTGCAAGTGATTTCGGAAGGTTCCTCATCGTTGAATGCGTGTCACAAACTTGGGCATCGTAGCGCAATTTGCGCTACGAAGGCGTACCTTCGTATTGTCACATCCGTGACAAAAGTATCCTCTGCTTTCCTCTGAGCGATTTGTTGTGTATCGCAGGCAACGAACATGTCGTTCCGCGGCGTGAGAGCCAGCAAGTTTCGACACGTCTATGGAACACCCTTGAAACGAGAACAATGTTACGACAACATACGTGTGTCCAAATCCTCCTGTGATTCGTCTTTCTGCGCCGTAAACCCGAAATTCGTGGCCATCATCGTCGAATCGGCCGGCGGCGGTGCTTTTATCGTCCTCCCTCTCAAATCGGTTCGTTCATTCTTTCGAATTTTGTGAATTTTGAATTTTATGGATGGTTTCGGATTCAGACAGGGAGGATCAACCGAGATTATCCCTTGGTCGGAGGTCACCGAGGACCAGTTCTCGACATCGCCTGGTGTCCACATCACGATAACGTGATTGCGTCTGCCTCGGAAGACTGTTATATAAAAGTATGTACAGTGGATTACTCTTGGAGGTTCTGTCCGCAATGGAGACTGGTCTTTTAGATATGGCAAATACCTGACCGGGGTATAAACCGCACGTATACTGACAAAGATGCTGTGGTAGATCTGGCGCATCACCAACGTCGTGTAAGCCTGGTCCTGTGGCATCCTTCCGCACAAAACGTCCTCCTTTCCGCCGGTAAGTTCGAAAATTCAGTCGATATCGAGCAGTCAGTAGTTGAGTTTTGGTTTTGTAGGCTCAGACAATTTGATTGTCATTTGGGACGTTGGGACGGGGACAGTGTTGAGGGAATTCGGCACGCCGGATGTGGTGTTTTCTGCGTCGTGGAATTACGACGGGTCGCAGTTTCTATATACTTGCAGAGACAAGAAGATCCGGATCTTAGATCCCAGGTCTGGTGAAGTGCTAAGCGAGGCTGAGGGACATGAGGGCATGAAAGCTAATAGAGCGATCTTTTTGAAGGTAAGAAATAATTTCATGGACTCATTCGTCTTTAGTGAGCTTAAAAAAATAACGGCGTGAGCTGGGTTGTCTAACATTGTAAAAAGTGGTGCTATCGAGAAACTCAGTCCTTTCAACGTAGTGAGACTGCAAGGCGTTGTGGTGGTGTCGCGCGAGTTGTGATCGTGGTCGTGCAAGTTGTGCGCTAAGTGTGGTGGTTTTTTCGATTATTTCTCCTGGGTTTTCCAGCGATGACTTGCTGTGAAAGTGAAATTGAACTTACAGATGAATGGGTGCGAAGCGTAAGAATCGACGAGGTAGAACTGAGTGTCGTAGATGATTGAGTGGTCATTTTATTGCTTTCGTTTTATAGGAACTGTTACGGCGTAACTGAACGCTTGCAATGAAAAATGCTTCTACTCTAATGTAGCTGACGCCTTGGCATCCAGTTGGATTATGTTGTTACATATCTCCAACATAGAGAGCATCAGGAAATTTCCGGTATAAAATGGGAATTTGTCCGGATTCGTTGTGCGAAATTCACCTTACGTGGTGAAATTTTGTGTTCAGTTTCATGCTTTCGCGTCGAATAGCTACGGTGAATCAAATGAACGTGACCGATAGCGTCGCACTTTCAGTTCGCGGAAGAAAAGCATCCAGACTGTAAAGTGTAAACTACGTGGAGAAAAACGACCATGAACGAATGTGAATTGAACTACAGTACTGTAATTTAGATCGAAACGAGCTTATTTTCATTTATCTTTGCTGTCACAATGGTAAAATTTTGGATGTTATAAACTTTTTAAAGATGTGATCGGATAAACAGAGCATCACTGATCGGTAAAAGGTTATCTTGAATTTACAGTACAGTAATTCCAAAACCATGCACTTAAAGACAGGAATATACAGTACAAGTTTCACGATTGATCCGGTAAACAGGTCTTGGGTATTTTTCGCTTGTTGGTTTTCTCTTGTGGGCTTTCCATCTTGGTGATTTTTTCTTTTGTTGTTGCTTCTCGCCTGGGCGTCTTTCTACTTGTTGCTTCTCTTCTTTGTGCTTTTCTCATGTCAAAGTGTCTCACTGTGGTAAGTTTAAAATCGAACTTCGCTAAAAAAATGTTGGGAACTGGCTTTTTGGAGCTGAATATATTAAGATCATTGAGAAACGTTGGAAGGATGTACGTTTCCCCGAGCAGTGTCCGGGAACACATGTGTGGATTAGGATTGAAGTGTATGTTTATGGTTTCAGAATGGGTTGGTGTTCACGACGGGTTCCAGTAAGCCTGGTGACCGGCAGTATTCTCTCAGGAGCCCAGATAAGCTTGATGACCCAATCGTTCGCATTGAACTCGACACATCAAACGGTGTTCTGTTCCCATTCTATGATGCCGACACAAGCATGATTTACCTTTGTGGAAAGGTGAGTCGTTCAGTATTTGTTGCAATCTGCGGATCGGCTTTTTTACTATTTATTCCTGTAGGGGGACAGCGTGATCCGGTACTTCGAGGTTACCTCAGAGTCACCATTTGTGCATTACATCAGCACCTTCCAGACACCGGACCCACAGAGGGGCATTGGCATGATGCCAAAGCGTGGCTGCGATGTTTCGTCTTGTGAGATTACCCGGTTCTACCGACTAAACAACTCCGGGCTTTGTCAGGTGATATCATTCACCGTGCCCCGAAAATCTGAGCTTTTCCAGGTAATGCTCGTTTTCTCTGATACCTTAATTCCGATGATCGATAATTAGGGCTGCTTCAGGAATTAGGGTTGCCGCTTTGAAGTGGAATCTACCCTGTCTGTATCTACCTCAAATAAAAATAAAAAGTTCCGGATGTCTAACATGTCTGCTACGCGTTTTCATGCCGGTATTGTTTCGCAATTGTCAGCGAACTGGACGTGTCGGAATGTGGGATGAGGTGCCATTTATCGAAGATGATGACCTGTGAAGCACCATAGACTGCATCCATGATATTTTAAATAGACCACGTACTTGGTGATTTCGCAGTGAAAATACAGTACAATACTAAGAGAGAGACATGTATTTCAGGAAATAATGCGCATAAAATTCTCATGTATTTCCGACGAAGGGGGAAACAAATAGAACAAAGCGGAAAGTGTTGGCCTCATCCAGGCAAAGGCTATATTCATTTTATATCATAACGATATCCATTTTATATCATCAGGATTTTCCTGGCATATCGTGGTGAAATTAATTCACTTCTAATTAAAAGAAAATTTGCAGATATCGAAGGCTAATCATTAAAGGTTGATAATGGATAAAGGACAAATAATGTCGTCATTATCTTGAAAGGAAATATTTTTTGGATCCAGGTTGTGCACCTTGAACACGAAGACATATCGCAATTATTGTTTTGTGTATCTGTTTGAGAACGTTGAACAGTTCAAGAAGGATATTTGTATTTTTCTGGTTTGGAATTACAGGTGAGTTACAGAATCTCTCTTACTTTCAGGCTGCTAAGATTTGAAGTAATTTTCTCTCCACCTTTCGCATTTGGGTGACCGATAGTTGTTCTGAAGTTGTCTATCAATTTTCCTCATTTATCTGGCTTATTTCTCAGAAATGCGAAAAGTTGCGCTTTTGTCTCGCGGGTCTCGGATCATGTCAGAATGTGTTTCCTGCTTTCCCTAGCAAACATTTCAGAATTTTACGTTCATAATCTCTCGATATGTACACATTTTTCGTGTCTGTAGCGAGTAAAATATCCTTCTAAACTTTTGAAGGAATGGTACAGACCGCCTTTTGGTTTTTTGTCTGCTATTTTTGAAGGAGAACAGATACTTCTTTTTTTTGGCAGCGGACGGCTGTTTCACTTAGATCATTCGATTGGAATGAGAAATCCGTGTTGAAAACTGTAATAATTCTACACCTTGTATAGGCACAAAAGAAAATAAAACAATGGCGTAATGGACAGGAATAACTCTTGTCATACAAAGAGAGCTTGTCTCCATTCCCCATTGATCACCGCTTCTAGCTCATTTGCTGTCGGCGAAACATTATTTTCCTATGGTTTCACCTGTGCGATGCTTGCGTGTCACTGGTTGATGATCCCTGTCCAACTTATGAAGAATAACTTGGTTTCTCAACCCATCCGGGTCCAGTTTCTCAACCTTCATCGTGTTGCGCCCATCTGTGCCACTGAAAACATGTTTTTAAATGTCCGAATGCCTTTCAATGTGCACCACAAATTTTTTGAAGGTGGACATGATAATGAGTCATAACATTCATTAACGTTGTCAGCTGAGATGTTTTAGCGCATACGATGAATACGACGTACTTCACTCGAGTACTTTTTTTTATTAATCATGTAGAGAAAAGTGGGGTTTGCGTCGTATAAAACTTTTGAAAGTTTTAAAAAGTTTAGCTGCTCATGATACTTGAACCTTATTGAACATTTTTAACAGGTTTCATCTTTATTGAAAACTTCGGAAAATCGATTAAATTTGGGTTTAATTCAAGGTGAGATTTTTGATGCATTTCATTTTCAAAACTTCGACCTTTTTTAGTAACCAGTTGCGCGTCGTACTCAGGTACATTATATGACTTCATCCAAATTTTAGGACCAGAAAAGGGCGCGTGGCACCCGAGTAAATACGGTACTTCGGATTCAATGTGCGGCTTTGATGTCATCTAGTCGAATTTTTTTCCAGGTGGACTTGTACCCTGACACGTTTGCAGAACAACCGGCATTATCGGCCGATGAATGGGTCGCTGGTGTAGATAAAGAACCTGTGTTGATTTCTCTGAAGGTAAGCTTGTACGGATATGGTGGGTGCGATCAGTTTTTGACTTCATTGTTTCAGGATGGAGTGAAAGAGCCTGTGAAGAAGGAGAACCTGCGCATGGAGCGTAAGTCAAATGTGCTAGACCGAGGTGTCCGGAGTGGTGATCAACATGACCATGGTGCAACAGATATAAATGAAAATGCCGAAGCCGAGTTTGTAACACAGGTACTATACATTTCGAATCTTTTGTTTTTCCGTTGTTGAATTAGTCACGGGAACGAGTCTCGGTACATCCTTGATCTTCGTCGAGTCCGAAATGTTCTGCAGATGATGCGGAAATGTCTTCGTGGAATTTTTTGATTGATTTAACTTGTGCCTATTGGAATTATAGTTGAGAAAATGGGCGAAGAAGCTCGAGAGCATTTTTGAATATTGAAAGTTTATCGCTTGCTGTGGTGCAAAAGCTACGTAAATTACATTCGAATTTCAAAGTTTGTTTTCCTGCTAGTCGCGGACGCGATGTTGAGTAATTTCGAGTCAAAGCTACCCCCGCATTAAAAATTAATCTTTGTCTTACTGGAAACCTAACCGCACTCGAATTAATCGAGACCAACACCAAACTTCGCAGCAAGATTACCGAACTGAACTCGAAGTCGCATCATTCAAGATCAAATTGTATGAACACATTCGCCCGATTTGCATCTAACAGAACTTAGAACGGTACCTAATGAACGATAATCCAAACCTGATGCCCCACTCGAGCCATAACAAATCGACTCTTATTCTGGTTGATTCAGTCAATTTTACCTTTGAAGATTGATCGAGGCGTCACGTGACTACGGATATCTGATTTCTTGACTTGAATCTCTCGTTGGTTTCAGCTGAAGCAGTTGGAGAAGAAAATGGAGAAAAAGTTGGCTGCGTTAGAATCCAAGATGGAGGAGGAGAACCGTCGACTAAAAGCAGTCATAATTAAGCACGAGAGTCGGATCAGGATGCTGGAGCAACAAGGGGCCGGAGACGCCCCGGAGGAGCCAAACTCTCACCTGGCCCCGGATGAAGTCTAACCAAGTCTGGACACTTTGCGCGTTGGCTTTCTGCGAATTCTCCCCTCGCGCCCTTCATTCTTTGCTTTGCGGTCCCACCAGTGGTGCCTGTTTCAGAATAGCAAGACTAATTGTTTGTAAAGCCGCTGTGTCTCCCTTTTGGCACCCAGTCCTCCCACAAGCTACCCACGCCTCAGTCAGTCGAAGTGTCCCTTCAGTTTGAGGTCACTCAACTTTTACCTGCCGAGAGCGCCGACCAAGAAATCTTCAGCCTCAGCGTTTTACCTGACTCCCGTGATTGGAGGAGTATTGACGTGTGAAAAAAAGGATTGTTTGTTTGCTGGGATTTGTGACTGACTCGCGTCAGGCCTGACGTGTTGGTTAGGTAATTCTTGGTTGCGTATTGTGACGAAAATTTCTGGTCAGTTGCGTACTGCAATAGTACCAAATGATACAATCCGATATTTTGTTGATCCGTTAGCCAGAGGATGTGGTTCTTCAGCAGAAGCAGGTCCCAAGCAGATGCAGAAATTGCAAAGTACTGAGATTGTGTGGTGCTTGTGACCTGCTTGTGATGAAGACTTTCAAGTCAGTTTGGAGTACAAAAGAGGAACGTGGGCAGGTTGAGGTGGATGTGGGGGCTTCTTTTGGGCGGGTACAGAGCGGCTGGAAGGTTCGGTGCCACTGACGAAAATTGTAACCCCGGGCTCGCTCTCGAACAACGAGCATGGGCTGTGTCTCAGTGCCTTAGATGCTGGAGCATGGCTGAGTATTTCGCGTACCCCTATTTTGCATTTCCCCTGCGGCGGAAGCGTTTTTGAACGATCGCACTAATTTATTCGATCATCTACTGGAAGGAATAAAAAAACAAGTAACAGTTGTAAAATTTCTTCCGCAACTCCTCCAGTCCGTCGCCAAATTCACCTTTTCTTCACCTTTTTCGCGCAGTCCAAAATGTATCGTCGAGCGGTTTCTTGGACTGAGACAAAACGTCCCCAGGTGAGTTATTCACTTTTTGAACTCAAGAAAGCATTTTCTCATTCGTTCTGTTTGGTTCACGACTTACTTCGTTTGTTGCAAAACATGCAGTGTTGATGATAAATATTCATCGCGAAATTCCACTGCTATCTTTCCAACTTCGAACTGGTCGTTTCATTGAACGCTAGATTACTTTCTGAAACTGAAATCGTCTTTTCAAGGCAGCCGGTTGCCTGCAATATCAGAGGAATACCAGTGGAATTCAATGCCAATGAAATCTTGAATCTGCCCTCAGAAACCCAAATTTCGCTGTCGGGTAAAATTATTTTCATGCATTTTTCGCTGTCGAACGAAAAATGTGTCAACAGGGAATACCTGAAACACAGCGAGGCTTGTTTAAGATTAATTCACATTCACTGAATGTGACTGTGATCTGAAGATTTTATATCTTGAAGCGAAAGCTGTTGAGCAAAGTTGCTAACGTTTGGAAAGCTGTCTGCACTTGTGGTTTGTCATGGTTTTTTTCCTGAATTTCAGGGATGATTGAGTGTGGCTGAGCAGCATGCCTTTTAAAAAGACAAAGAAGGCAGAGAAGAGCCTTGTTGTGAGAGTCACAACAATGGATGCTGATCTCGAATTCGCCCTAGACGTGAGGGTTTGCATTTTTTTTCTCCTCCTATGCCGAAGCTTTGTGCGAATTTTTGCTTTATTTCAGTGGAGAGCGACCGGGAAGGACCTGTTCGACCAAGTGTGCCGAACCATCGGGCTCAGGGAAACCTGGTACTTCGGCCTTCAGTACGTGGTCAGCGGCATGGTTGCATGGCTCAAGATGGACAAACGTGGTGAGTCTACTTGAATTAAACATCCATGGAATATTTTAATCAAATTTCTTTTTTTCCTCTGCAGTATTGTCACAAGATGTTGGAAGAAGCGCGATGCCGATTCAGTTTAGCTTTTTAGCACAGTATTTCCCTGAGGATGTGAGTGAAGAATTGGTGCAAGAGCTGACTCAGCATTTGTTTTTCTTGCAAGTGAAACAGTCCATTTTGAACATGGATATTTATTGCCCTCCGGAAGCATCTGTTTTACTTGCATCGTACGCTGTTCAAGCAAAGGTGTGTATAACGAAACTTCGATTTTTATTTTCAAGTTTGGTAAAACTAATCTCCTGAAAAAATTTCTTTCGTGCTGCTCCTGGAAATCTACGGAGTATGTTACCTTATTTTTTACTGCTTAAAAAATGGACACAGCCGAGTAAGTGGGATGATTTTTCTAGTACGGAGACTTTGACGAAGCATCCTACAAGCCGGGGTTTTTGGCGTCGGAGGACCTCCTGCCTCAAAGGGTGATTGACCAGTATCAAATGACACCGCAGATGTGGGAGGATAGGATAAAGGTCTGGTATGCTGATCATAAGGGCATGACCCGGGATGAAGCAGAACTGGAGTACCTGAAAATTGCGCAGGACTTGGACATGTATGGAGTCAACTACTTTCCGATCAAGGTAACATTTGCGACTATCTGTGGAAGAAAATCGCATTATTGCGCAAATTGTTTTTGTACTTTCAGAACAAGAAAAAGTCGGATTTGTGGCTAGGTATAACAGCAACAGGAGTGAATGTGTATGACATGGACAACTCTGTAGCCCCGAAGGTTTCATTCCCATGGGCGGAAATCCGTAACATTTCTTTTGATGACAAGAAATTTCTAATTAAGCTGGTCGACAAGGGAACCCCGCCGTGGATATTTTTCTCTGAAAATTCCCGCATGAATAAATTGGTAGGGTTTCACAGCTGAAGTAAGGTTTAGTGGAAGGGACCTGTAACGTATTTGATTTTCAGATGCTTGAGCTTTGCATTGGAAATCATGATCGGTTCATGAGGCGTAGGAAACCTGATCCCATGGAGGTGCAGCAAATGAAGGCTCAGGCCAAGGAGGAGAAACTCAGGTAAAAATCCCAGCTGCTTTCTAGTAAATGTACGGTATTTCTCTTAATTTTCTCAAATTTTGAAGACGTCAAATGGAGAGGAGCAAGTTGGCCAGAGAAAAGCAGCTTAGGCAAGACTTGGAGCGCCAGAAGGCGGAGTTGGAGCAGAGGTTGGTCCATTACCAAGAAGAAGCCAGACTGGCCCAGCAGCAACTGAGGAGGTCTGAAGAAGCTGCCGAACTGTTGGCTGAAAAATCTAGGATTGCTGAAGAGGAAGCAAGACTTTTGACCCACAAGGCGAGGCAGGCTGAATCTGAAGTGGAACGAGTCAGGAAAGAAGCTGCCAAGGTTCATTCCTGTCAATTTGAATTGAAAGATAAACATAATTTGGCGCTGAATCCACCGCAGAAAAGCTACCGTTATTTGGTTCTCGTCGGTTCAACCTCCCATATTCCGGACTTTATGGTTTTTCTGCCCTGTTGTGTAGCTTACATGTGGTTTTCGCTTGAATTTGTTTAGCTTTCTGTGGTCTACGTGTGATTTTGTGTGGGAGAATTTTTGTAAGGTAAATGATCCGAACGTCATTCTGCCTGACGATTTTGGAAAACCAGGTTTATTAGTGAAGCGAGAAAAACCTCTTGCAGTTTCTTGAAATTTTTTTTTCTGGTATTACGAAGTAGATTCTAGTAGTTTTTGGCCAACGATTTTATCCCCGTCCCTATGAATTTTTGATTTTTATCGAACCGTCAGTGGGCTTTGCCGTCATTTTTTGCTGCCGAAGACGGATCTTTCATGCTTTTTTTTTCCTATTCAGTCTGAGGACGAGAGGCTGATGTTGGAGAGAAAAGCCAGGGAAGCTGAGGAACTGGCATCCCAGTGCCTGAATGAGAGTGATAGAAGGGCTAGTGAAGCGAGGAAATTATCGGAAGAGCTCCTGAAAGCGAGACTTTCCGAAAAGATGGCCAAGGAGCGCTTGGCGCAAGTCCTTCAGAGCTCAGTGTCGGGCATCTCCTTGCTTTCACAATCCTCGGCGTTGGGGTCTTCTGGAGTTGTGAGTACAGTTCAATACCTTTTTGCGGTAATCTTTGAGAAAAATCTTGAGCCGGTATAAGTTTCCGTGCGTACTTCCTCATCGTGTCATGAAGCTGAAATTTTCCTTCGGCTGATTTAAACATTGACCGAAATGGCAATTGAAAAATATGAAAAAATGAACGCTCTGTTGGTCTATTGCAATCATGCTGATAATTTTAGTGGCTGAAAATATGCTAGAAAGGAATCTTTCATTTGAGTACGATTAATGAGATCTCCAACGTTCATCATTTATGAGAACAATGCATTTATTCTTGTTCAGAAATACTGTAACAGTCGTCAACTCTACTCACGGTCATTCGTAAAGGGTAAAAACAACTCTAATCTGAGTTGTAAAATTGAAAATTATATGAGAGCTTGGGACATTGAAGTTTATTATTCGAAATTCAATTTTGCAGTATTCAAATATTCGGAGATATTGAACTTCGGATGAACTGTACTGTATTTCGGGAACGATATTTTGAAAATTAATTTTCAATTAACTTATCATTAAACAATACGTTGGCAATATTACGTAAACGACGAATTTTTGTCTCTTTCGAAAACGTGAAGATCCTTTTTTTTAGAGAAGTGGAGGAAGCAGCAAAAATAAAAATAAAAGTTCGGATGCCTTGAAAAAAGCAGGCCGTGTTTAAAAAAAAAAGATCGGTTCAGAAAATTCCTCCTCAGTCGTAGAAATTACATGTGATGTGAAAACTTGTATGCAAATTTTGAGTGAGTAATTTGCGGGACTCACAAGAATTTTTCTTTAAAAGTAGGGCAAACAAGATCAGGTTACAGTGCACGTATTTTTGATCCAAAATAACAGGATCAGGAATGTGATGAAATGCAATGAAATTAACGCAATATCTACGTAATTAATGAAGAAATCCTCACGTCGGTGACAAGCATGTCCTTTTGTTTTTACAGGTTGGGTGTGAGTCTGTGTCGGATTCGTCAGGGATGCTGTTGCTTGGTTCTGGACGGATCCCGTCTTCGGAACTCAATGCCTGTGAAGAAGAATTCTCAAGTTCCGGTTTAGATCTTCACGACACTTCCGGCCTGGGTGTCGACATGATGCTTTATGAAAACGCGCCTGAGACGGACGTCCTTGACTACGACCTTCTCGTCACCGACAGTGATATGGAGAAGCTCACACTGGCCATAGAGAAAGAAAGGTTCGTATGCGGTTTTCAGGTTCATTCAGGAAAAAAAAGAACGTGACTTGAGATTTTTTTTCTCACAGGGTTGATTACCTGCTGAAAAGTCAAACATTACAGGATCAGCTGAGGGAGCTGAAGTCTGAGATAGATCTTTTGAAAGTAGAAGACCAGCAGACGTCTCTGGACTTGTACCATGAAGAACAACTCGCAAAAGGCGAGAACAAGTACTCAACACTGCGCAAGGTTGGTGTACTCATTGTTCGGCTAAATGTGAAAGCGTCCTGAAACTCTTCGCCACGCAAGAAGAGGTTCTTGACATTCCTGCAATGAGATTTATGTTTTTATTTTCATTATTTAAAAAAAAAATGACCCCATTAAAAGCAGATGAATATTGAATAAAATTCCAAATTATCCAATGAGCCTTTAATGTTGTTCTGCTGGATTATCTGTTCGTTAGTGAGGATCCTCGAAATTTCCATGGTTTTTTATTTTCGTGTTCAAATGAAAAGAAAGAAATTTTGGCATGCATTTATATTAATTTGCTGACAATGAGTTGGTTTTGTCTCTCCCCAATTATGCGTTGAAGGCTCCCTAGAGCATTGTCAGAAACTCTCGCGGTTTCATGATACAGTAATTTCTTGAGATGTGCAGGTGCCCACCAGCCTGGATTTTCAAATATTGTATTCGTTATTCTTTTCACTTGTAACCCGCGACTCCGTTTTGATATTTGTGGTACATATTTCACCTGAACCAAAAATAGCGTGACTGGGCTGAACCGAACCTGACGTAATCAAACTCACCTTAGGCATCTTGAAAAGAAATACTAGTGAAACCGTGACTTTATCGTGTGTTTTCTAAAAGAGTGTTGAGGATTCAGAGGCATCGGAAATAGAAAAAGGGGGGGGGGGAAACCGCAATATTTAGCTTACTTGTTGGATTGCGAAGTCTGTAACTTGTGTTGAATTCATGTTTTTCGGTTTTCTGTTTCCAGATTCGATCTGGATCGACGAAAGCGCGCGTTGCGTTCTTCCAAGAGCTGTGAAGTGTGGCTGTGGAAGGAGTGAACATCTCTGCAAATACCAGTGTGTGTCCTTTGCATTAGCTTGTGCCTGTTTTCTGGAATTCTTGGGGCTGAAGCATTGACTGTCGTGCCAAGGTTTTTATGGGAAGGGCATTTGACGAGATGCTGTTTTTATTTTTCGAACCCCAGTGAGACGCCTTCATTTGGCCCAGTGCTCTGAAGTGTCCTCGAGTATGTTGTTCATCTGCAGGATCTTGTGGTAAGTCAAAAGTTCTGGGAAGCTGTTCACGCGGTCGTGTGTGAAGCAGAATCACCGTATACTGTCGTTGCGAAGGATCACGTTTTGTGCGGAAAATGCGCAGGAATTGCGAGAATATCCGCTTTTTTTGAGAGTGACATTGGGCTTCTTGTATCTCCATCAGCAGTTTGTGGTTGATGGGACTCGTTGGACATTTCAGTGTGCTATATGGAAAGGTTTTTTTTTAATTAAGTCCTTGCAGTTGTCCTGTTTTTGAGGCAGTGTGGGAGATCTCCTGTACTTTTTGGTACAATAGTCAACAGGTTCATGGGAGTTGAATAAACACAGAGGTTTGAAATCAGGCTTTCGTCTTTCATCGGTATGTTTTTGATGGTTTTTCTCGTGCGAAGTCGGATCCCGAGGTTTTTGGAGTTGCGCCAACTGTATCTTTTGATTATTTTCCGAGGCATGGAAGTGAGAGGCCGTTTCCTCACGTTGGAGACGAAAATCTTCCCTCTCGAGTCGGATGACCAACAATTGGGTTGCCCGGCGTTTATTAAATGCGTACACAAGTTTCTGCATCCGAGTAAAATTCCGCGGAAGAAATTTCTTGCAGATGCAGTACAGTACGTACATGCATTGTGGTGCCTTGCGAAACGAATGAACTGCGAATTTACACCCTAAAAAAAAACTAGTGATCACGAACAGTCGCTTGAGGAACGAACTTTTTGGCCTCGCCCTAAGGCCCACAATTTTTCTTGTAAAAATATAGTGACCGTATACGAAAACATGAATACTATACGTTCTTTTATTCTGGGGACAAGGTCAAGCAACTGCACAGGCTTCGAGGGTTACATATTCTTTTTTATTTCATGCACGGTGCATGTAAACATATGAAGTCAATCAATTAGGTAAATTCTGTTGTTTCATAACTTCGGAGATACCGTATTTAATGAAGTACCAGAGCACATTTTTTCTCAAATTTCAGAAGAAAAAAAAGGGTGCGGGCGGGTACACATTTTTTGAGAAGTTTTAGGAAGTTATGTGTGCATTATACTTAATTATAATGGAGAAATTTGGAACAAATGTTACAAGAAAACTCTTTTGTACTGAAAAAGTTGAAAATTGATCAGATTTTTGTTCAATTCATGTCTAAAGTCATTTTTTTGTTTTATTTTCAAAATTTTGTGGTTTTAGATTCATTAAAAATTGGGGTGCGCATCTTACTTGGGGATAAGATTTTAGCCAAATTTCCAACTGAAAAACCCCTGTGTGCGCCTTACTCCAGGGCACCTGGTACTTAAGTAAATAGGGTATTTGTCAAGTTGAAGGAATAAGAGAATCATGGAACCCAAGTGAGGTATATACTGTTTTTGTCACATTGAGTGTAGTCTCCAACTGTTCGTAAAAGGTTCTTACTTGGATCAAAAGTGTATACCTATGCTATCATCCAGGAATTATTTTTGTTATTCCTTTGTTGGTGCTTTTGAACTTTGAATTACGTTATATAATGACATTACATGCATTCATGACCCGGATTCTGTTGAACAATGCATGACCACTCAGTGAGCCAAAATTGCTGAATATGGGTGTCAATTCTTGAGGCACTTTTGCATCTTGAATTGGAAGAAACTCAAGATGACAATCCTGTTGTGGAGTGCTACCTTGGGAAAAATCTTGGAATGTGCATGAAGTAAAAAAAAATATGCATGTGAATCAAGACAAGAAGTACAGTACAGTGGGCCCTCATCTTACATCATCAATCCATTCCAGGATGGATGTCATAACATGGGGCTGTCGTAAGTTGAAACCCTATTTCCCTTAAGGTTACATTATAAAAAAATTAATTTGTTCCAGAACAATTTTTAAGCTAAAATTACCTTTATATTTCAACTTTTTGTCAGAAATTGCATTAATAGACACAAGACATGTTTGAAAGACTGCATAAAAAAAATGGTAGGGGGTAGGACACAATGCATATAATTTTGGGTGGAAGTGAAAAGAATTTTGAGCCAGAAATGTGTTCAGGAATGACAGGCTCTCAAAAGAAAGAGCCAACAAGAGGGCCAGGTTGAATATCCAGAAACCGTGGAAGTTTGAGGAGTCTATGTTTCTTTTTTTTCTTGGTCTTCTGCAATCTTGGCAAATTTTGCGCAAAATTTCCTGGAAATTTATTGTGACAGGATTTGTGTGTGACCTTTTTGACAAAATATTTTTAGAAGTTTTGGTTGCGAAACTTGGGAGATGCTGGGACATGTGCTCAAGCACATGACTGCCTGCGACCAACAATCCAACCTTCGCTCTAAAAACACGCGTTTTTACATTTTTGTTTGAAAAGACTTCAAATTTAGTGCCTCGACTTCTTTTGGTGCAGGTGAACATTTTTTTGCAATTATGGATTGAATCTTCTAGCATTTTTTTGCCGCATACACAAGAAATATCTTTGGCATTGTTCCTGATTCTTTTTTTTTTTTTTTTGACAGAAGCTTGTCACTGCTATAACTTGCGTTACCCAGCTGTTCTTTTTTTTGTGGTCCAGGTGTACAAAGAGAAGGTGCGATTTAAGATTGATGGCGTCTCATTTTCGCATGAATTCGGTAAGAGGTGAACCCGAACTCAAAAAAAGGCGCCCTTCACAACGACGTGAAAAACGAACTTGACAAAAGCTTCGTAATCTTATCATTCCATGCGAAATCACGCGTCACAAAGAACGTGAAAAAAAACATTGAAAAATTTATACAGTATTACTGGCAGAAATTCCTAGTCAGGGGCCGAGAGATACGTTGTGTGTCCGCAGTACAGAAAGGCATGGCGCAAACAGCGGATGTGAACAAATTTCCGCACTTTTTTCCCTCGCTCGCTGGAATTTTCCTTTTTCCTTCTTTATTTTTTGTTGTTGTCCAATCATGAAAAAAAAAATATGTATGCGAATTTCGCAATTGTTCCGTCAACTTTTATTTTTCCACGGAGCAGCTCCGAGCCGCTTCACGCCAGGCACGCAATAATGATTCTTTCCTCGACTAATCGTCGCATCGAAAAATTCGCCCTGAGATTCATCAGCTCATCCGTCTCAACATGGGGGCAAAGGGCCTTCGCAAATTTTCTGCCCACTTTCTGAACAGCATATGCGAAGACGATTGAGTTCTGTGTGAAAACACCATTTAACATTATCCATAAATTAAAAAAAAACAGTTTTCATTAACTGTGCATTTTCTCCGCTTTTCAAAGCAAAAACCTCCGAGGAATAATTTTCTTCAATATTCAAGTTTGAAGCGGGAACAGGTAATTTTATTCGAATTAGGGCATATATACTCTGTCAATAAGACCACAAAGAGTTGATCAACAGTATATTTGAGTGGCTTTGATTAAAAACTTTAAAAAAAATGCTGCAGTGATTGTTGGACCAGAAATTTCTTTATTTTTCGACTAAGACTAACCACGAAATGAGAAAATTGGAGAGACAAATATTCCTCATTAAACTGGGAAGACACTCGTCAATTCATAAAATTAGAAAAAAATTGAACAAAAAAAAGAGGAGACATTTTTTCAACAAGAATACACTTACTAAACTTGTGAGGATTACACGCAAGAAAATCGCTTAATCTCAATCTCATTCAATTACTGTATACAATACTGTACTGTATTTCTGATTTAAGCATGTAGAGAAAGTTGCCCCTTGCTTTCTTAGGATAAAAAATGCTGGAATACGGGTTATCTTAGTTTGAACGATAAGATATTCGCAAAGAGCGAACACATCCCCATTTTTCAAATTAATAACCCAGAATTTTAACGGACTCGGTAATTTTTCTTTCCACTATCTTTCAAGCCAGAAAAGCGCTGGATCTTGGTTCTCACGATGCAGATAACAGCTGCCGAATTTTGAAATCAAAAGAACTCAAAAATTTGGAAATTTTACCTTCAACTCGATCAGGAAGATAACTTTACTTTTCTGTGAAATTTCGTGATGCTAAACGCGATGTTCTTCAAAGTTACATCGTGAATCATTTACTTTGGTCAAGACACTCACCAAAAAACAATGATAACCATTAAAAATTCTTCATTTTCCTTATTTTTCAGTATTAATTTGTGAATTCGTAAATTGAGTCCAGCATTTTGAAATTGAAATAATCCAAGAAGTTTATGCTCACAACTTTCTTAATTTTACGAACTTGAAAAAGAGAGGGGGCAACAGTTTGGCTTTTCTCTCATGATTTTCCTTGATTTTCAAGTTCCAAAGTTTCAGCACAAAACTTTATAAAATTCGAGCGTTCGTCAGCTTAAAAATGTCATCAGGTGAAACATTTTCGTTATGCAAGTCACGCTTTCTTCAAAACTTTTCGTCATGCGAATGTTTCGTCGTGTGGGTCTTTTGTTATGCGAGAACTCACTGTACTTCTAGAATTCGACGTTCTGTAATTTATTTTAATAGCTTCTTGCGACAATACAGTATTGATCGTAAGGTTTCTTCAATTGGCTAGCAGCAGCTTAAATCGATTTTAAATACATTCAATTCTTCGTTTATTTATGAAGTCGAACCTTGTGGGGTCGGGTCAAAGTTTTTCAAGTCCCCGTTTGTTAAAAAAAAAAAACGATGCACAAGCAATTTAAACCTTTGTAACTGAAAGGCTTTCCCCCTTGAACCTCTAAACCTCAAATTTTCCGGAGGCCCTTTTGGCTATTATTTTTTGTGAATCAGGAAAAATAAAATCAATAGAAATGAAATGCTTTATGCTTTTTAAAAGGAAGTGATGAAATAATTGGGACAGTCGAACCCTCACCTTCAATTTCAACATCTTGCCAACTTTTTCACGAGGCAGTTTAGAGCCAAAAGAAGATTACTAATGTCAACTCCCAATAAGTTTTGAATTGATAAGACAGCATACAAGCTTTATTTGCTACTTGTTAACAATCACAAAAAACGTTCCCCTATATCCTCGTCCTCCAAGATTTCGGAGAGTAACTTTTTATCAATTTGTGAGAAAATCCCAAGTCACTCGAAATTCTTCAATTTTTTTTTTCAAGTCAAAAATAGTACAGTAGTTTCTCCAACTCAAAACGTCCGTATGTCGTCGAATATTTTTCCTGCTGGTCCCTCAGAATTCGACTCAAAGGGGTTCAAGTTTACAGTAGTATTCAGAAAAACATGGCGAAAAAGCAAGTCAAAAATTTAACCAAAATTACCCCAAACCCCCCTTCTTTTGAGTTCGAAAGCCCGCAAATCAATTACTGCAGTCAAGAAGGCACGAGAACGCCACCAACTCGCTCATCAATCAAGACTCGCACAACATCACTCAGATCCTAATCACGTCCACCATCACTTCTCTTCCACTACCACTGGGCAAAGGCAACCCGAACAAAACCG